TACTCACCTGAGACATACCCACAAAGCTGAAAGCCCTCTTCAGACTTCACAACAATTGTGCAAAGATCTTAAAGTGGCAAAGGATTAAAACAGCAATCTTCCCCAAGCCTCAAACCCAGAGGTTTCTTTCTCACAAACAGCAGATGAGTGAGTAAACCAGATTCTGGACTAAACAACTTTAGCCTGTGCTGAATGTTACTCCATACCAGCAACACCCCCCCCAAAAAAAACCACCCCACACTGCGTTCAAGAAAGTGAAAATAATAAACTTTTTCAGCAGGGTCCACTGCTGGGTCAGACCTTGTGGGGGCTGGACTATATTTTGAAAAATAAATAAAAATGAATGAATTCCTATGCCCCACAAATAACCCAGAGATGCATTTTAAATAAAAGGACATATTCTACTCATGTAAAAACACACTGATTCCCGGACCGTCCACGGGCCAGACTTAGAAGGCATTTCCAAGCACAATTCAAAGTGTTGGTGCTGACCTTTAAAGCCCTAAACGGCCTCGGCCCAGTATACCTGAAGGAGCCTCTCCAGACCCATCGTTCTGCCCGGACACTGAGGTCCAGTGCCGAGGGCCTTCTGGCGGTTCCCTCACTGCGAGAAGCCAAGTTACAGGGAACCAGGCGGAGGGCCTTCTCGGTAGTGGCAACCGCCCTGTGGAACGCCCTCCCACCAGATGTCAAAGAGAAGAACAACTACCAGATTTAAGAAGACACCTGAAGGCAGCCCTGTTTAGGGAAGCTTTTAATATTTAACAGACCACTGTATTTTAATACTTTGTTGGAAGCTGCCCAGGGTGGCTGGGGAAACCCAGCCAGATGGGAGGGTTATAAAATAAATTATTATTATTACTATTATTATTATTATTATTATTATTATCATCATCATCATCATCATCATCATCACTAGGTCAGATCTGGCCCCTGGGCCTTAGTTTGCCTACCCATGATCTATACCCTCCATGTAATTTACAGAGTGGTCTCCAGCTTCCTAATCCATCATTATGGAGGGCTCATCCACAGAGCCTGCTATGCCCAGAGTTGTTCTGTGCAGGTAGGTGACCCCATGATTTGGACTCTGGTTGTACAGAGTTATAAATCGCAGGAGGGGGGGTCTGTGTGCATAAAACAGGCCCCCCTCCTCAGACATGTGTCCCCCCCCCAATGCATGGATGGCAAGGGAGCAAACAGGATCCCACTTCTCCCTTACACACACCTGTCAATCATGTCAGGGACAACACCTGAACTCATGACTCTGTAACCAGAAATCTTGGGCTTTGAAACAGGTGGAGCTTGAAACCTTTCTAAGCAGGTGTGTTTTGAGTACAAAACAGATAGTTCTCAAACTTAACCCATTCTGGGAGTCCATTCAGACCTCCGGAACTGCTCAAAAACCAAGGTGCAGTTTCCGATTGGCTGCAGGAGCTTTCTGCACTCAACCGGAAACCGTGGAAGCCCCATCGAACGTTTGGCTTCCGGAAAACATTTGCAAACCAGAACACTTACTTCCGGGTTTGCGGCGTTCGGGAGCCAATTTGTTCAGGAGCAAAGCCATTCAAGTACCAAGGTACCACTGTACTGTACTGTGTTATAATGGAATTGTACTGAATGTCTGTGATCAACTACATTTGGTTTTTAATCTTGTCCCATATTACCTCTGGTTTGACTCAGTTCTGGGGAACATCTCAAGCACAGCAGCTGGGGCTTGTTAGAATTAGACTTCATCATTGTATTCTCCATTAGAAACAGTCAGTTTGTTCCACTTACAATACAGGACAGACTGCAGGTTAGCACTAATAACACACGTGTTTGTGTGTGTGTGTGTGTGTGAGAGAGAGAGAGAGAGAGAGAGAGAGAGAGAGAGAGAGAGAGAGCGCATGCATGGAAAGATGTTCTTCTCCGCTATCTGCATAACTTAGCTTAAATTTCGGCTATTTCCCCATCTGATGAGCAAGTATTGGGTTGTTTTAATTGGCAAGCCTCTAGATTATGTCTGGAGCAACATCCATTTAACTAGAAATCAGGAAGTTGCCTTTGTTGAAAAGCCATCTGATGCTAGAAGGGGGGGAAAGAGCCTGGACCATATGCAATGAGCAGCTGCAGAAGGTCAGGAAATGAGCAAAGTGACCGAGACCAGAATGATGGGCCATGACTCAGCGGTGGAGCATGTGCTTTGCATACAAGAAAGTCCCACGTTCAGTTGCTGGCCTCTCTAGTTAAAACAAGTAGCAGAACTGCTAAATGCCCCTGCCTGAGGAGGCCCTACTGGTATGAAAACAGCTTCAGGAAGAACTTTATGATGGTAAGAGTTGTTCCAACAGTGGGATGGACTCCCTCAGAAAGTGATGGACTTCAGTTCCTTGGAGGTTTTTAAGCAGAGGTTGGATGGTGCTTTAGTTGCAATTCCTGAAGTAAGGTAAAAGGTAAAATTTAATAGACCCCTGGATGGTTAAGTCCAGTCAAAGGCGACTATGGGGTTGTGGCGCTCATCTCGCTTTCAGGCGAAGGAAGCCAGCGTTTGTCCATAGACAGCCTTCTGGGTCATGTGGCCAGCATGACTAAACCGGGACACTGGGATGGAAACCAGAGTGCAAGGAAACGCTTCCTGCCACAGTGGTACCTATTGATCTGCTTGCACTGGTGTGCTTTTGAACTGCTAGGTTGGCAGAAGCTGGGACAGAGCAATGGGAGCTCACCTCATCACGGGGATTCGAACCGCCAACCTTCTGATCGGCAAGCCCAAGAGGTTCAGTGGTTTAGACCACAGCGCCACCCGCGTCCCTGAAGTGCAGGGGGTTAGCCTAAATGACTTCCCTTCCAATTCTACCATACTGTAATTCTAACCACAGTGGCACCTTGGTTTTAGAACAGCTTAGTTTATGAACAATTTGGAAATAGAACGCTGCAAACCCGGAAGTAGGTGTTCCTGTTTGTGAACTTTGCCTTGTTCCACTTCCTGTTGAGTGTGTTTCATTTGTAAATTGAGTCCCCCGCTGCTAATCAGAGGCTTCCTGTTGGCTGTTGAGTCCCGAGCACCCACACAATAAAGATGAGATATGTGGAACTTTGTGGAGCTTTTTCGTTTATTTGACTGTGACTTGTTCTTCATTTTATGGGACTGACTTGTAACTTTGTTTTTGTGACTGTGTGAAACCCAGTTCAGCTACTGATTGATTGATTGATTGATTGTGTGACTGCATAAATGGATAAAAGCCCCCCATCCAAACAATGACTATCATCAGTGCACTTCAGGAAAAAAATAATTTTAATTTTTATCATCTACAATACTGTCTTATTTATTTTATAGTACAGTACATTGGTTATTGCTTTCATTTTATGGATCAATGGTTTCATTAGATAGTAAAATTCATGTTAAATTGCTGTTTTAGGGGTTGTTTTTAAAAGTCTGTAACGGATGAATCCATTTTGCATTACTTTCTATGGGAACCAAAGTACCACTGTATAAACATGTTCTTCTCAGTCTACTGCAAGAACATCCCCCACAACCTGATTGTTTTATGTTTTTCCCTATGTATTTTAATACCATCTAATTTCTACACCATCTAGATTTCTTTAAACACATACAGATTACTAGGGTTTTTTAAAGGCCCTGTTTCACTGGTACAGAAGGTTCTGCTGTTCACCCTCCTAATTTATCTTTATGCAGTACAGTTACAAGGTAGTATTCTAGTCAGGGACTATGAAGCAAAGTTTGACGTCAGACAGAATGGGGCCTCTTTGATCATCTCTGAATAATGAGGAATGACCATCTGCCATTGTCTGACTGGCAAACTGCTTGCATAAAGAGAAGCACGCAATGCAGATGTTCCAAAATGAGAATAATGCTCATTTTCTCCCTTCACCGCCTCTCCGCCCTCATGACTATTTTAACCCTGCTGTGTTTAAGCCTCCCCGCCCCCACTCACTCACAAAACTGGCCATTTATACATGTAAATCAGCAAAAATTAAAATGTTCTCTCCTGGTGTGCAGTACTAATGTACTTTCTATGGTCTGAAGGTTCGTGATGCAGCAACCTGGCTAAAAACAGGTACAGGCTTGGATGGGAACCTGCCCCTCCACCCAAAAAAACACACATTACAGTGGTACCTCGGATTACAGATGCTTCAGGTTACAGACTCCGCTAACCCAGAAATAGTACCTCGGGTTAAGAACTTTGCTTCAGTATGAGAACAGAAATTGCACTGCAGCAGCGCGGCGGCAGTGGGAGGCCCCATTAGAGAAGTTAAGAACAGTTTCAAGTTAAGAACGGGCCTCCGGAACGAATTAAGTTCTTAACCCAAGGTACCACTGTATGTGCAGTGCCTTGAATTCCATCACAGAAAAACAGTGGAATAAATGAAACACATGAATGCTAAAGCTGCAATGCTACCAACTCTCATTGGGGAGTTCCATTTTACTTAGTGGAACTTGCTTCCAAACACACAGAGATAGATGTTACGCTGCAACAGAGTGCTGCAACTTATGCACTCCAAGGTATTTAAAGAAAATACGAGCGAGGAGGCAAAATGATAGGAAAGAAGTTGATCTAGAGAAGCCTTTCTCGACCTGTGGGTCCCCAGATGTTGTTGAACTACAACTCCCATCACCCCAGAGTACAATATAAATCAAAGAACCAAAAATAGTAAGCACAACCGTTATTTGTTATTATTTCTTAATTCTATATCCCGACTTTTCCCCCAAAGGAGGCCATTGCAGCACAAGGTAATCTTACCCACAAGGTAATCTGGACAAAGCAGCATACCTTAAGTGAGTCATATGCTATATTATTTAATTCACAGGCCTCAGAGTTCATGTTTGAGTCTCTTACTAAAACAAGGGCATGTTTTATTTCTTAATATGGGCATGAACTGACCATACGACAAAGAGAAAGTAAGTGTGGTGTAGCAGAATCTCTCAAACCTTTGAAGCCATGCACATTCAAAATAAGTCAATTTGGCTCTTCAACTTGTCACTTTCGGACGTTACTGACCTGCTGAGTTCCATCTCCATTGACTAAGTGAGGCATCATAGCTACCTCCCCATTCAGCAACGATGGCAACTCCAGTGGGATTTGGTCGGTCATCATCATTGTGACGTACATTCATGGAGAATTTTCCTCAGCGGGCCTCCTAAACGTCAAAGAAAAACACACATGTATAACTCTTGAGTAATAACATTTGAGAATTCCATTCATACTTCAGTACCAATAAGATTTTGTGACTCGTGGCAACTAGCTTCAAGATCTGTGGGCAGATTTTGTTGTTGTTTTTCCTGCATCAGATAATCAACAGGTGAATTGATCATCCCCATGCCGCCCCCCCCCCCCCGATACTACCCAGACTTCTGAATGACCCAAAGCCTAGTCTCAGAGGACCCTTTTAGCCTCTCGGACAAGTACATTATGTAAAACTGCTAGCACATTTGCAAAGCTAAAACAGGTCCGGAATGATTTCAAATCAGATGGGGGAACAGTGTGTTCTGATTCCAGCACTGCATAAGGTGGGACTATATAGCTCTGTTAATCACCCACCATTTTTAAATATATATTTCTATGGTCCTTTTCAAAGTAGTTTGGGAGAATTTTCAAGTTTCTGATTTTTTTCTAAATTAAAACATACAATTTAAACCGACTTTCAGCAGATATTGTGTCAGAGAAACATTCTATATTAATCATTTTTATGCAATTTAACGTATGAGTGGCTATTAAGATAGTAGCACCATGCCATAAAATGTTGCATGCACCTTATCCCTTAGGTAAAGCTTCTCTGTCGTGTGTGTGTGTGTGTGTGTGTATAGAATACTTAAAATTAATAACAACAACAACAACAACAATAATAATAATAATTCAAAAACATTTCTAGGCAACTTAAACACACACCACCAAGTTTAACAATAAAATACCACCCCCTCCAACACTCTCACACACAGATGCACTAAACATGATTATCATAATCTCTCAAAAGTCTGGGAGAACAGAGAGATCTTAAGTCAGTACTAAAAATACAGTTGTACTTCGGGTTACAGACACTTCTGTGGGAAAATGATTGCTTGTACATGAGAGCATGAGCAAAGTTCTTATTGTTACAGGGTGATTTCATAGCTAGAAGCATCCTTGGAGCATGAACAGCGCGTGAACAGCTCGTGCTGTCCCATATGATTGGCTAACGTAGTATGGTCTGATCGCTCGCATGGTCTAGTACCAAGGTCTTTATCTGCTGGCTAGAACAAATTGTTTGACTTGTATTTTTTGTATCTTTCTATTTCACACATTTCACACAATAAAAGCTGTGCTGCATAAGCCCTAGGAGCAGCCATATTTCGGAACCTATCTTGGTGTGAGACTGATTTTCCTCTGGATGCCGAGCTGCAACTCGACAATTGGTGCCCCGTGTGATTGCCTTCGGACTTCACGTTGTTTTTCATTATTCAGCACTCACCAACACGTCGTTCATCCACGTAGTGGATCCCTGGTGAGTGCTCCCGTGTGATTGCCTTCGGATTCAGCACTCACCAACACATCGTTCATCCACGTAGTGGATCCCTGGTGAGTGCTCCCGTGTGACTGCCTGTTTTTCATTATTCAGCACTCACCAACACGTCGTTCATCCACGTAGTGGATCCCTGGTGAGTGCTCCCGTGTGTACAACGTTCAGCTCTCACCTCGCCCCGCAAGGGCTGCAGACGCGTCGTTCATCCACGTAGTGGATCCCCGGTGAGAGCTCCCGTGTGAATGTGATTCTGGACTACGTTACGGACTTATCAGCACTTATCTCCGCCCGGACAGGGCAAAAGGCGCCTTCCTCATCCTCCTACGGATTCCTCCGGTAAGTGCTCCCTGCTCTTTTTGCAACTCTTGCAATCATGGGAAAATCTCTCTCTGCACCACAGAAAAAATTTTTTAAAGACCTTAAATTCCTTTTGGCCAGTAACAACCTTGCTGTTCGGAAAGCTGACCTTAAGTCCCTTATAAAAGCCCTGGACACTCACTGCCCCTGGTTCCCCCAGGACGGAAATTGGGAGTTAGACGATTGGAAAAAAATTGGACACTTCTTTCAAAATCATCCTCAGATTGATGTCAAGGTTTTGCACGCCTGGAGTAACGTCTACAAAGCTATGTCGTGCTTAACTCCTTCAAACATTCTTCTGGCTGCCGCAACAGCTTCTTCGCCCGCCCTCCCAGCTCCCGCTTTGCCTGCCTCAAACATACCTCCTAAACCGCCGGACATTCTCCCTCCGGCTTCTCCCATCACTCCCCTGCATTCTTCAAATTCTGCAGCACCCCCCGTTCTTCCACCTCCTGCGCCCAAGGCCTCTGGCACCGCTTCTACTACTCCTCTCCAAGAATCTCTCCGTGCCGCTGCTCCGTTGCTAGCTTTTGATTCTACAACTCCTAATCTCTTCCCTGTGATTGCTCCTGCCGCACCAGGGGGAGGCCCAGCCCGGCACGAACAGTTTGATTTGAGATTCATAAAGGAACTGTCTTCTTCTGTCAAGGACAATGGCCCTGCACCCCCAGCCCCTGTTATGCTGAACCAAACTGATGTTCTTGATGGCTTAACTGGCGAAGGCAATTTTCTTACTATTGCCCAACAGTTGGCCCTTGATCCCATGTATTGGACAGCTACTACTGCTGCCGCCCAAGAAGCTTTGTCCTCTGTTCCTGATGACAAGAATGAGCGCGGTGGCAGCATCAGACAGGGTCCTACAAAGCCCTATGGACAATTTGTCGATCGCTTGGATAACACTCTTAAGCGGCAAGTTCAGGACGTAGCAGCCCAAGAACTGATTGTCCGCCAGCTTGCGTATGATAAGGACTGTAAGCAAGCGCTGCGCCCTTTGATGACAACACCAAATATAGTCATTGCAGATATGCTTAAAGCCTACCAATCAGTGGGCAATGAGATGCACAAAGCTCGCCTGCTAGCCACGGCTTTGTCCTCCACCGTGCCCCAGAATCCTGCAAAGGATAAAACCTGCTTTGGATGTAGCAAAGTGGGCTATTTTCGTGCGCAGTGCAGATCTACCGCACAACAACGTCACTCCAGCACAAAGTGCCCCATCTTTGATACAGGCCAGGACTTGTCAATTTTCTGAAGCACATCTTAGATCACATATTGGTCACCCTGGTTATTTGGCAACAGGAATTTTACGCCTGCTGAACTTCATTTCTGGAAGGAAGAAATATTGCAGCGTCCTTTAGTGTCTTACAGGTTGCTTCCAGATCCACAGTGGAAGGGTCCAACTTCTTTGATTTCTTGCGTTCGACCTTGGCGCTCTTCTGCTGCCTCGTCTTCGCCCAAGGAGACACCAGCGCCTTGAAACTGTATTTTACGCTGACTGCCAGTGATGACCTCCCACCTAATCTCAACCTGCATTGCAATTGGAGACATCGCCATATTGATGTGCCCTGGATAAAGTCACCTTCCACAGCTGTTCCAGTGTTTCCTGGCATGTTGAAAGGCCATCTTCAACCCTATCGCGTTGGCCCCCCTTCCCCCTGGGAAGCCACCGTTTCTACCACTTATCGTTACAGTTTTGCCGCCTCTTGTCTGGGAAATGAACCTGGCTTTGAAGGATGCCCTCGTCAGACCGGCATCGCTTGGGTTTTGCCCCCCAATAGCGACCATCCCATCTGTGTCACCACGTTTCGTTGGGTTTGGATTCTTGGCTCAGCAGTGCACGGAGCAGTACATGAGGCCTATTTACAGCAAATGGGCTCCTGTATCTGCAGAAATGGCTGTGTGGCTTCTCCTGGATTGTGGTTTTTACATGCCAATAATCGAGCCACGAAATATCACGCAGGTTGCTCGGAAACAGCCATTGGACTAATTTACCATTCTCATCCTTATTGACATCGCTTGGATTTTACCCCCCAGATCTCTTCTTCTTTTCTCCCCCCTCAGGATTCCTGCCCTATGATGTATTCCCCTGAGCATGTACAGAGGGCTGTCTTGGAACTATTGTGGACTCTTGGCAAGGGAGGGGGTGAGGGGAATTTCGGTGTGTTCCAGTTGTTTCATTCTTGTGCTTTGGCATGGTTCCCGGACAGAAAGCAAGTTGCAATATGGTTCTTCAGCAAGGCCTGGAAGACAATGGGCTCTGTTCTCGACCTTGTTGCAGTCTTTTTAGTTACAGCAAGCGGACTATGCTTGGCTACTGCCTTTTTTTAGCTGCTGAGAAAAATGATTTTTAAAAGCTTCTTGAAGCTTTGAGTTTTTTTTTTGTGGTGGTATTCTACTATTCCAGTAAATGCTTCATATAAGATTAGCAATAATATGAAGGACAATCGTATATGTTTATCGCCTGTGTTTTGTTGCTTGCAAAAATAATGTCTTATTGTTTTCATTTTAATCATAATAGCAAAAAAAAAAAAAAAAAAAAAAATTAGGTCATTATCCATATTGTAATTGGACCTATGAATACATTAATGGATCTTCTTGTTTTCTTAATGTTACAACCATGAGTGGCAGACCAAAGGTTTTAATTAATAATGTCACAACTTACATGACCTATGAACAACAAGCTGCGTGTAGAGACTTTTATGTTTGGTTCGACTGGATGAGAAAGAGCAGCAGAACTACATGTTTGCTTCAATCTGACTTATGGTTATTTTGTGGCACACATGCCTACAAAGAAATCCCCTCTGCCTTTTCTGGTACCTGCACGTTAGGCATAGTGGTACCCTTGGTGTATAAAATAGATAAGCTCCCAGCGGTCCGTTTGCGTAACAGAAGGGAAGTACAATCACCTATTTCTCAATATACAGGGACAGCCATTTCTAGGTCCCTTCTGCCTTCTTTAGGTGCAGCCATGAATTACCGTGATTTGCATAAATTGGCAAACTGGACAGAAAATTTGTTTAATTCCACCATTTTGGCTTTAAAAATGATTAACAAAGAAATATCAGAAATAAGAAATGTAGTTCTTCAACATCATTATGCTTTAGATGTGATCCTTGCTTCTAAAGGTGGAATTTGTGCCTTAATTTATTCTCATTGCTGCATGTATATAACTGATCAATCGACCAATATCTCTGCTACTATTGATCATATGGAACAAATGATAGCCCATAATCCTTTGAATCCACCTGAAGGTTTTGATCCATGGGAGTGGTTGTCTTCTTGGTTAC